CCCCGAGGCAGAGCAATGGCTCCAAGTTCCTGTTGTAAGGAACGACTGTCCGGTGAATGGCTATGCTAATTAAGGAGAATGGTGCTCAAGGTGCCCAATACATGCCTGAGGAATGCATCTGGAAACCTGCAAACTAGTCAGTATCTAATGGCTGCTGACATGTGAACCACAGACAGATCACTTGGCCAAGTGACCTACTCCAGCTTGTACCGGGGGTGGATATAAAGTGCCGTGAGGCAGACTCCATCTTGTCTTCAATTCTGCTACCGATCCCTCATGCAGCCTTGTGATGGACAGAGAGCCAGGAAGGATTGTGCACCCATCCTGACATAGGATGTACACCAGAGACCTCTAAGCTGGCAGTTTATAACATCTCTGCTGAGCCTCTACATCAAGAACTTGGTGATTGGTGCATGTAATGTATTCTCCTTAACAGCCTTACACTCATGCTTTGCTTTCTTTCATTAATAAACCTTTAGATTTTCGATTTTAAAGGATTAGCTCAGCGTGATTTTGTGGATAAGATCAAAGGTGTAAACTGACCGGAGATCTGTGACTGAAAGATACATGCACAAAAACAAGCTAGAGAGAGTCGGCAGGTTGTAACTTTACTGTAATCAGTTACATGAAGCAATTTACCTAAAGATCATTGAGTTATTCATGTGCATATTCATGTCAATTTCCAAAAAGTATGGGACGGGCATGACAGCAGCCATGGCATGGACAGCTATCAGGGGAAGTAACCTCCGACCCCCATCAGCTGCAGATTGCTGGACCCTGTAGCAGGAGAATTTCACACCTTGCTTTGCTAAAGGAATGTGAAAGTGAAGCATTATTTCTAGCTGTGCACCAAGCGCCCTCTAGTGGTCTGGGTTGGTAACAAGGGCCAAAGGCAGAGAACAAGGTTTCTCTGGGAGTGTCAGAGGGGTCTAAGGGAGTTAGGCACTGCTACTCATGCTTTGCTTTCTTTCATTAATAAACCTTTAGATTTTCGATTTTAAAGGATTAGCTCAGCGTGATTTTGTGGATAAGATCAAAGGTGTAAACTGACCGGAGATCTGTGACTGAAAGATACATGCACAAAAACAAGCTAGAGAGAGTCGGCAGGTTGTAACTTTACTGTAATCAGTTACATGAAGCAATTTACCTAAAGATCATTGAGTTATTCATGTGCATATTCATGTCAATTTCCAAAAAGTATGGGACGGGCATGACAGCAGCCATGGCATGGACAGCTATCAGGGGAAGTAACCTCCGACCCCCATCAGCTGCAGATTGCTGGACCCTGTAGCAGGAGAATTTCACACCTTGCTTTGCTAAAGGAATGTGAAAGTGAAGCATTATTTCTAGCTGTGCACCAAGCGCCCTCTAGTGGTCTGGGTTGGTAACAAGGGCCAAAGGCAGAGAACAAGGTTTCTCTGGGAGTGTCAGAGGGGTCTAAGGGAGTTAGGCACTGCTGTCCTGTTGGAGTTAGGTGCCTCTCTCCCTTCGGCATCCCTGAAATTTCCTGCCTACAAGACCTTCCAAAAGTCTCCCAACCCGATAAAGGTCCCAGGCATCTGCCAAGCGGATAACAGGTTAAGCAGTTGCCCGTGTTCAGGGGGGTGCATGAAAGTACAGGTGTGTATTTATGGGAAGGTCCATAGGCCAGACCCGTAGCTGGTGTAGAGTGGGCTAGTCCCATTGGAGTCAATGGAGCTGATCCCAGCGGGGGTAAATCCATCCTTGCCCCCTGGCAGTCGGGGGGACAGCTCCCAGCTGAGGGGGCTCAGCACAGCCAGTGCGGGGAAGGCCGTGGTGCTGCGAGCAGGCTGGCAGGAAGCCAGGCTGTGCTGTGCACCAAGCGCCCTCTAGTGGTCTGGGTTGGTAACAAGGGCCAAAGGCAGAGAACAAGGTTTCTCTGGGAGTGTCAGAGGGGTCTAAGGGAGTTAGGCACTGCTGTCCTGTTGGAGTTAGGTGCCTCTCTCCCTTCGGCATCCCTGAAATTTCCTGCCTACAAGACCTTCCAAAAGTCTCCCAACCCGATAAAGGTCCCAGGCATCTGCCAAGCGGATAACAGGTTAAGCAGTTGCCCGTGTTCAGGGGGGTGCATGAAAGTACAGGTGTGTATTTATGGGAAGGTCCATAGGCCAGACCCGTAGCTGGTGTAGAGTGGGCTAGTCCCATTGGAGTCAATGGAGCTGATCCCAGCGGGGGTAAATCCATCCTTGCCCCCTGGCAGTCGGGGGGACAGCTCCCAGCTGAGGGGGCTCAGCACAGCCAGTGCGGGGAAGGCCGTGGTGCTGCGAGCAGGCTGGCAGGAAGCCAGGCTGTGTGTTTTTGTGCAGCTGGGCCCTGGGTTCCCCTTGTTGTGTCTCTCACGGCGCAGTAGTAGGTGCCGGCCTCTCTCAGCCTGGCTCTGTCGCGGGTGAGGTTGGTGGAGCGGGAGGCTTGCACCACAACCATGGTGAACTCTCCAGCGGCGAAGGAGCCATCGTACCCCGTCCCTAGGAAGCTCAGCCCCCCCCAGCCTTGCTGGGGCTGTTCGTACCAATACATCGCCTCGTTGGAGGTGGCGTTTTGGCTGCAAGGGATCAGGATCTTTTCTCCTTCTACAAGTGTGATTTGAGCCAGCTGAAACACCTGGGCCAAGGCCCATCTTGGAGCCGCTGCAGGGAGAGAGGCAGAGCATCCATGGAGGTGGCGTTTTGGCTGCAAGGGATCAGGATCTTTTCTCCTTCTACAAGTGTGATTTGAGCCAGCTGAAACACCTGGGCCAGGGCCCATCTCGAAGCCACTGCAGGGAGAGAGGCAGAAAGTGAGCTAGGGAGAATCTGTCGACAGCTCCCAGCTGAGGGGGCTCAGCACAGCCAGTGCGGGGAAGGCCGTGGTGCTGCGAGCAGGCTGGCAGGAAGCCAGGCTGTGTGTTTTTGTGCAGCTGGGCCCTGGGTTCCCCTTGTTGTGTCTCTCACGGCGCAGTAGTAGGTGCCGGCCTCGCCTAGCCTGGCTCTGTCGCGGGTGAGGTTGGTGGAGCGGGAGGCTTGCACCACAACCATGGTGAACTCTCCAGCGGCGGAGGAGCCATCGTACCCCGTCCCTAGGAAGCTCAGGGCCCCCCGTCCCTGCTGGGGCTGTTCGTACCAATACATCGCATCCATGGAGGTGGCGTTTTGGCTGCAAGGGATCAGGATCCTTTCTCCTTCTACAAGTGTGATTTGAGCCGGCTGAAACACCTGGGCCAGGGCCCATCTCGAAGCCACTGCAGGGAGAGAGGCAGAAAGTGAGCTAGGGAGAATCTGTCAACACCTAGAAAACACAACGTTCAAAGCCAGGCTGGAAACCCAGGGACAGAGCCTGCGACTCCCACTGACCAAGGATGCACAGAAGGGCTGAGAGCATCCTCATGGTGGGATGAAACCTTTATCCACCTCCTCTGTCTGTCTCCACACCCAGACCTCCTGCTTCCCTTGCCTCCCTCTGTGCGTCTCTGTCAGTCGCTCTCTGTCGCTCTCTGCCTCTGACACCTGCCAACCAGCCTCTTTCTCACAAGCATCCAACATCCTGTTGCACACCCATGCAAACCACTGCCACACAACACTGAGGTAACACACATGCATACGCTCTCTCTCACACACAAACAGCAGCAGCAACTCCCCACAGGCACACAGTACTGCTGTCCACACTGCAATAACGTGTATTTCAGATACGCTTGAGCTACCCATCTCCAATATCGGCCATGCTCAATTGCTCTCTCTCTCTCTTGCTGGCTCTATCATTTCTCTGGGATGGTCTAACCTGGCAAGTATTGTCAAGGAAAAGTTCCTTTTGGCGACAGAAATGCATGAGCATTCACACTGCAACCCGCCTTCTGTGGTGCAAAACTGACATTTTCATTGACCAGAAACTTCCAGCTCCACAAGGAACTTTTGTCTTTCCCTCTCCCTGTGCTGTTGACAGACAGGTGGTGTGAAGCCCATCCAGCTGCAGAGACACCTCCATCTCGCCTTCAGTCTCCCAGAGGCGCATTCGGACCCCACTGTTACCATGCTCCTCACTGCTGTCCAGGTGCCCTGTGTGTGCTTTCATGAGCCAAGGCTGCAAGGGGTAAGCCAGCTCTCCCAGCATCCCAATGGGCATTGCTGTAATCTTGTGGTCTGGAGAGAAAAGCCCCTCCTGCAGCTTTCTGTCCAGGCCGGTGTTTGCGAGGATGTGTGTGTCACGCACCTTTCCAGACACCCAGGGATGATGCCTGTGAACAGCCCCTGGCAAGCCACATGCGTCTGCAGCACCACTGGGAATTGTTCCTTCCTGGGGCTGTGCTCGGTGGCAGAACGAGCTGGTGCCGTGTGCCATCCCTTGTCACCCACAGATGGGAAATATCATGTTGGCAATGCCTGCCTCTACCTTTCCCGGTGTCATAGAACCCCAGGGCTGGTGGGGACCTCAGGAGTCACCGAGTCCGGCTCCTGGACCAACCCCAACTAACACAGGCCTCCCCAGCAGAATGCGATGTGTTGCCGGGCACACTTGCATCAGTACAGCACCAACGGGAGACCTCCCCAATCCAGACTGATCTGCAACTGACTGGTTCCAATCGGGAGTCTCCAGCTTCTGGGCAGCAATTTCCACGTGTCTCCACCGAGAGGGCCACTGGTGTCCTGGCACCACAACTTGTGGGCTGGCTCAGCTCACAGTTCCAGCAACTGTCTCAGGCAGGGAAGGGAGCCCCCAAAAAGACCACGTCATTCACCTAACTTCCTGCCTCACCCTCCTAAGCCCTGGCATGGATGTGCTTCCTTCCTGCCTTGCCCACACCCTGGGGACCTCTGTACCTGTGGGCCTTGCTGCACCAGTGCCAGCAGGAGTCTTTCTATGAATCGTGGAACTCCCAGATAGGTAGACGAGGCTGTGTAGAAATGGCAGGAGAGGGCGGTTCATAATTCTCACCAAGAGGCCATGCAGGTGTATTTGTAGGTGCATTTCCACGCAGACCCACATGCAACTCCTGCACCTGCTGCACATCAACAAGCTGTCATCTGGCCCCTCAGTTTTCCCAGCGCCGCTTTCACCTCCTTGTTGCGCAGCGTGTAGATGACCGGGTTCAGCATGGGCGTCACCACATAGCCAAAGAGCTCCACAGCCGTCACCATGTTCAGCTGGGGCTGGGTGTAGATCAGGGCACAGGGCCCAAAGAACAGCATCACCATCACCAGATGGGAGGCGCAAGTGGAGGCTGCTTTGCGCCGCCCTTCGCCTGCGTTCAACTTCATGACAGAGTAGACAATGAAGATGTAGGACATGAGGATGAGGAGGAAACAGGTCATGGACACCATCCCAGTGTTGGTGAAGGTCACGGTCTTAAGGACGTACGTGTCTGCACAGGCCAGCTTGGCCACAGGGAAGAGATCACAGAAGAAATGGTCCACCTCATTGGACCCGCAGTAGGGCAGCGTGAAGGTCAGGCTGGCGAGGATGGTGGCGTGGAAGGAGCTAGTGATCCAGGTGCCAGCAGCCAGGAGGGCGCACACCCTGCGGTTCATGATGAGCAGGTAGCGCAGTGGGTGGCAGATGGCCACGTACCGGTCGTAGGCCATGACCGTGTAGAGCAGGCTCTCGGTGCTGCCCAAGAAGTGGAAGAAGAAGAGCTGGGCCATGCACCCGCCCAGTGAGATGATGTTGTTCTGAACCCAGAGATTGGCCAGCAATTTGGGAATGCAGATGGAGGAAAACCCAATGTCCAGCACGGCGAGGTTGCAGAGGAAGAAGTACATGGGGGTGTGCAGGCGGGGGTCACCGAGGACGGCTGAGAGGATGAGCATGTTGCCCAGCAGGGTGCAGAGGTAGAAGGCTAAGAAGGTAAAGAAGAGGATGGTCTGGAGGCCGTCGGTGTTGGGGATCCCGAGGAGGATGAAATGAGTCACCATCGTGTGGTTCCCCAGCCCCATTTGGGACTCATTCCTGGGGTAGGGCAGAGAAATAAAGCCAGTGAGTTACTGAAACAACCTGTCACCTTACAGCTGCGATGTTCACCCTTCCCGCCACTGCCCCCATGTCTCCCTGTCAGTCCTAGCTCTGTATATTTCTGTGACTGTCATGTCAGTTTGTTTCACAGCCTCACTATGCTGGGGCTGAACACAGAGGGAAAGGATGCTTGAGTGGTACATCTACACAGCAGCATTATTTCAAAATAACTTAGTCCGCGTCTACACAGCCGGCAGTTATTTTGATATAATGTCGAAAAACTGTCAAGCTGGAGGACTTCTTACTCCGACTCCTGTGACCCTCCTTGTACGAGGAGTAAGGAACGTCGGAGGAAGAGTGAAATAAGTGCTGTGTAGACGCTCCCAATTTCCAAATAAGCTGTTTCAAAATAAGCTACACAATTGACATAGCTCAAATTACGTAGCTTATTTCGAGTCAAGCCCTGCTGTGCAGACACACCATCCAGAGAGGATCAAAGGGGAAATCTTGTCTAGTCTAGTCTAAATGGTCTCCTTTGTGCTGTCCTATACCAATGTTTTTAATTCTCTTCTATCTAGGCCCTTCCCTAACCCTTATCCCTGCAATCCCGTAGAGCCTTCTGTTGGTCTGTGGTGAGCATTTCTCATGCGTGGTTCTGATCTTTTTCCCCCTTACACTCTCCACGAGGGGTGACCGTAGGTGCTGCCAAGAACCTTGTTCCATTTTTCTCAGTGCTCGTGTTGCAACGTGTCCGTGTGAGGAATCACAAGGAGAATGGAAGCCAGAAACCAATGAACATGGTGAAAAATTCTCCCAGCTCCGTGAATGATCGTTGGGGGGGGCTATCAGGGTTAGAGAGAGAGTAAATGGACAGGAGGAACAGCCACAGCCAGAGGGACTGGATCTCCCAGTACAGGAGGGTGGCCACGACCCCTGGATTGAAAGTGGTTTCCATCATGCCCAAAGTTCACAGATTGGTTCAGTGGCTCTCAGCCTCCGACCGCCTGTCCTCGGCTCGGCTGTGACAAGCGGCTTTGAGATGAACGTGACTTGCCAGAGGGGAATTGTACAGTCAGATTTGCAGGACAGTGATGAAGAGGGTGGCATTTAGCCGTGGAGAATCCCCGTGCAGGAGAGGCAGGGTTGCAAGGCAGACGCTGGCGGGGAGGTTATGGTGGATGGAGTGGGGCAGGGCTGCAGGGCAGAGGCTGACGCAGGGGGAGGGGGTTATGGTGGATGGGGAGGGGCAGGGCTGCAGGGCCGAGGCTGA